CAACGTAAAATAAAACAACAAATTATTGAGTCTACCCCACGTCTACCCTACATCATAGTTTTACATTTTTTAAATAAAATTAGAACGACACTGATAAACCGGAATTTAAGTCGGCCATATTTGAGGCCCATCGCGGTGTACCTAAGATTTTTGATATGCTCCTTCCTTAGTCTTCTTATTCAAAGGTTGTTGGAAAAAAACTTTTTTAAGGTTGACATTTTGAGAAAAATGCATTCATCATAAAAATATCTGCTTGTTCTAAAATGGTTAGTCCTGTTCATACTCTTCCAAACTTTCATACCGTTGTAGAGAATATTAAAAAAAAACATCAAACAACATTAGGCTTTTGGGTTAAAAATGGCGCCCTAAAAGGCATATTTTGCATTACTTTTTATTTGGCCCCCCCCCTAAAATAAATTTCTGTATCCGCCCCTGTCAATCTGTCAAAGGAAGAAAACGAAATAATGGGCGTAATGAATAAAAATATAGCAATTGCCAAAAGCAATTGCTGATTAGCAAAAGCTTTAAAAACAAGAAATTGCTTAAAATTCCTAAGAATAATTCCTTAATATTTTTAATTAAGCATTTGCTAGGCATTCCGGTGTAGTGTAAGCAATTGCTGTGTCGACTTGACAAGAGGTATTTTATTTTGTTTACGTTGCGGTATCTCCATTCGTTCAGTTGTCTGTACAAACGTGTTTACTAGGTCTATTTTTTAGGTGTTGACAAAAATATAATTTGCAATATGTCTGACAGTAGTGAATATTCCGACTCTGAGGAGAATCAAGAAGAGAAGCAGTTAATTTTCGTTAGGAAATTAAAAGAAAATAAAGTAATTTTTAATAAGTCCTCAGTTCCCGAAATAAAAAAGGAAAAAGAACGTTGTCCGATGCCTAACTTCCACCCTGTGCGATTTTCCCATCGATCTTCGGTCAGATTTTTCTCGCTCATCGACCTTCTTATTCCTTCCATGCATGTTTTCTTGGGACGTCCTCTCTTTCGTTTACCAGGTGGTATCCAATGAATAACTTGTTTTGGAATTCTTTCATTGTGCATTCTCTGAACGTGGCAGTACCATATTAATTGTTTTTGTTCTATATCATTTACTATTGTTCCCTCTATTCCCATCTGTTGTCTAATGTCTTCATTTCTGATCTTATCCCTCCATGAAATTCTCATTGCTCTTCTAATCGCGTCCATTTCTGTTGTCTCTAATTTCCTTTTATTCCTTTCAGTGAGTCGCCATGTTTCACATCCATAGAGTAATATACTTTTAACTAGTGTCTCGTCTATAAATTCTACCATTGAATATAAATCGAACATGTCTCCATAGCGCAGTGCGTAGAGTTTCCGACCACGAACCGATGATTCAGAGTTCGAATCCGGGTCAGGTCAGAGACTTTTTTATTTTATTTTCGTTTATATTCTTATAGTAAATTATTAAATAATTCTGGTAATTAAAAAAAACAAATATTTAATACTTTACTATCAGAATATAAACGAAAATAAAATAAAAAAGTCTTTGACCTGTCCCGGATTCGAACTCTGAATCATCGGTTCGTGGTCGAAAACTCTACGCACTGCGCTATGGAGACACGTTCGATTAATATTCAATACTAGAATTTAAAGGACTAATAAAAATATTGGATCTTCTTTCAATGCGCAGTAGAGAACGCAACGTTTACCGGCGGCCAGACGGGCCGCATGCTGTTCTAGGGAGCAGAGTAAAAGATATATCAAAGAGCCAGACGTCTTAAAATACTTGTTTTTCCGACGTTGCTAGCTCTCGTATTAATAGTTTAGTACAGTTATTGCCAAATCTGTGGTATATGCAGGTAAAACTATCCAGCATGTGGAAAGATTGCAGATTGACATATCATATGCTAACTTTAGACATTTTTGCTTAAAACAAAATTGTATTTATATATTTTTACGATATTAGATATGGGTGTGTTACAAATACTAATTTTTAATTAAGGAGCCTTAAAATAGATTTGATCGTCTATTATTTTCGTCTTGTTCTGGCCGGTTGCTCAAATCGTATTTTTAATCATATCTCAATGTTTTTTTTAAACCGAACGGAGGTTCCTCATTACTGAATTTAGAAAAATCATTTTTACGAATAATTTGGTACCACACACTTGGTATTCCTAGTCAAATTGTCGTTATGAATCGCATGTCGCAATTTCAAATAAACCATATTCAAAAATGTCAAAAGTTAACATATGATATGTCATTCTCACCAGAGAGTCATTTTCTATCGAATAAAGTAATAAAATGCCGAGGGTACCCAAGGACTATATATATTCTAAAGGACTGTTCGATCGCGTCAAATCGCCGCTGTCCTAGTCGCCGTGGAATGCTACGTCACGCGCTGACCAGCGCTCCACAGTGCGGCGGATGGTTATTCTAGCGGGACAAAATCTTAAGAGCAATGTTTGGGACCTAAAATCTAAGAACGTAGCAAATGGTCTAATATATAGCAACTATATGGTTAAATTTATTTATTTATTAACAACTTAATTTATTAATAAATAAATACAAGATAATAAAATTATGATATTATTCGTAAATGATACACAAAAACCGTATTGTAAACTATTGCCAAATACATAAAATTATGATATCAAAAAACTCTTTAGCAGTTTTTTCTTAATTAATTTGTAATCTTGTGACACCCTCTATAATTTATTTTAAAAAAATATATTTTATTTTGAAAATAATAAATAAGATAGATATTTTAATTTTAATTTTAACACTCGGTAATTGTAAATTCATATATACTAAGTTTCTAAGACAATTTTTTAAACTCAGTGCCTTTTGATGGAGTTGTTTTGTTTTTATACTATCCGATTGAAATGAATATTTTTGGGCATTCACCTGTTAAGCTTGAACTCCCTGTGACTGTGACTACCTGTGTTGGTAACTATTAGTAACTCAAAAGATCTACATCATTCAATATATCGATATTTGAAAAAAAAGTGAAAGTTTGATATCTGCAGAACAAAGGTACGAAGGATTTTAACAAATAATATACGTACAGTAGAAAAGTACATACCTTTGGCAATCTTCAACATAATTTGGCTTTCTAATAAAATGTATAAGCACTTGTAAATATTTTGTTTTCGTATGATCTCTGCCTTGCTCAGCAGAAAACGACCAAATTTGGTTCATAAAAATGTATCGAAATACAAAGAATATTCATGCATTTTTGTATCAATTGGAATGTCTACTATTTATTCTTATCAGTACACATTTTTTGCCTTATTTCTAACCAAACGCTTTTGTCCCGCTAAATTTATCTTCCAACGCACTGTGCGCTCGACCGTCAAATGCAAAAATAACTGTCACTGTCTAAAATCTTTAGTGCCAACCATAAAATAATAAATACAAGAAGAAGTGTCAAGTCAATGTTAAATTATGGAAACAGCGTGGCTGCCTGGGTAACTAATTTTCAGATATGGCGGCTGGGACATTTGACATGATTTGACATGACATAGACACTTCATTGACATGACAATTTCAATTTTATGAAATTTATTTCCGTTTCCGGTTTTTGATGGCGGGCTGTTCAGGAGGTTTAAATGAGGGTTAATATACTTTTTACTTTTTCTAGTAGTAAATAATACAACAAAATTACTCAAAAATATTTATTTGGAATTTAGAACAATGTAAATATGCAAATCAACACAATTAAAGAGCTATAAACCCATAAACTACTGTATCAATATCAAAATATTTAAATAACATCAGAGATGCTGTGTTAAAGTGAAATAGTAAAGTAACAATGCACTGACTTACAGAAACTTGAAGATAAATAAATGTTTTCACAGCTTCACGGGCGTAAAACTAACTGGAAGCAAGAAAGAGACAACAGGAACCCACGCAAAACCTGGAATCAAAAAAATATAAAAAAACATAAATATAGGTACATAAGACTGTTGTGAATTAAATCAAACAGGACTTGAATGAAAATAAAATGAATAAAAAATATGATACATATACATCTAATACCTCATTTGTATTTTAAAATAATCTACATACATAGCATTATTGCTATGAAAATACATAATAGGTACCTATGTGATATGTAATTACGCATTTCTGTTCATCTTGTAGATTATTAATGTAAGCTAATAATAGTTCAATAATCATAATTTACCTTGTGTAACTTGCTTTCAATTGCTCAAAATCACCGATCAGTCTTTAAAGTAGAGATACGGAAAAATCCTTGGTAAAGAATATCCCAAGATCCTTGGATCTAAAGCTAAACAAATATAAAAACAGTTAATATATTACCTATTTTTACATATAATATGGCCCATACCTACTACACGCAGAAACGTCGATTTCATTATTTTCTTCATGTAATTAATACTATATAAACTTTATTAAAGTGTTAACAAGGAACTTTATATCAAAAAACATCTTTGTACTTATAAATTTCAGCCGAAATATCATAAACAAACTTCCAATCAAATCTAAACGGCAAAAATTAAAATGGCGCTCGACCTTGCCAGAGGCCTCGGGAGTTGACACATGGCTGACACACAGACAAAAGAAGAGGACGCCGACGTGCATAAAAATGTTCCGTAACTGAAATTGACAGAAATCATATAGAAATATTCAGATTTTTGTCTAGGACAGTCTAGAAGGCCATGCTTTCTGCCTGGGTAAGACCGCGCCAGAACTGTTTCCAATTTTCCGGTTTACTGTCACCCCCCTGGTGCCAACTTCAACTCGGTCAGTAGATGTAAAAAAACTGACAGTGCAGGAAGATAGGAATCGAACTATCCTTAACTCTATAGTATCCTTGGAGGGTACCTACTAATTAGCTAAGATTGATAACGTCGTTGCATTATTTTTGGAAAAATTAAATGTGTGACACCTCTCGTCTGTTGCATTTTTACGTGTCAAGTACTCGTCAGCGAGTAATAGCAGTAGCAGCATCTTTAATGTTATTTCATATATTATACCAACTACTCTTTGTTTCAGGACAGTGACGGCTATCAATTCGAGAACGGCCAGCATCCGATCGGTCGGATCGAAGAAGGAGAAAAAAGCGACATCGGCAGCAAGATTCACGATTTATAAAGTAAACAAGGCCAGCAGGAAAAAACGGGAAAAATCATCTGCCAAAAAAGAGCGCAAGGCCACAAAAACGCTGGCAATCGTCTTAGGTGAGTTTTCAAAATCTCTCGTATTTTCCATCGCCAACGGTCATCAGTTTTTTATCAGTTTTTTTTTCTTTATCCGGTCCAGAAAGAGAGAAGTTATTTCACCCGAATTACGTCACCGATATTCCTAAAGAGAACGGTAATATTCGTTTACCCGAAAAAAAAAAACGGCGGCTGGGGAATGACAATCGATGATAATTTTGGCGAATTTAGACGAAATTTACTTGGTCCGTACTCTTTACTTTCTTTATTTTTTAATAACGCTTACTGCCAATTGGCCTTAAGGGATTTTTACGTTTTTCGCGTTTTTGCTTGTGAAGTGCTTTTGCGATTTTACCGTTTGAAACTTTTATTTCGATTTGTGTCCATCAAAAATACGTAAAAGAAGCGGGAGGTTTCTATCAACAAGATTACACAAATAAATTTTCACCATACACATTCACTTCAAATATGCGCGTAAAAATGATTTTAAATAGTGTAAGTAGTTTAAAATTTCGAGAAAAAATAAGTTTGTGAGTTTGTAAACGTTCTATCATTTTTTACTCTTTCTATAATTACTATTAATTTTTAAAGTTTTATGTCACACTTTTTTGTAAGTGGCATCTAGAGTCAATCTCTAGATGCCAATCTCTAGATGCCTCACTAAAACTAAATTGTTTTTGATTACACGGTATAATAATAATAATACGTATTTATTAAAAATAATTCTAAATACACATATTATGTGGGGGAGGGGTTTATATTTACATATGATTATACAGGGTGAGTTTCCTACGATGTTCTCTATGGGTATCTCAAAAACTACTTGAGATAAAGAGTCGGTTAGATGGGGAAAGAACTGCAGTTTTATGGGGTCATAAATATGCGTCTTTCAGATTTTTTAAAAATTTCATGGCTTACTAGATATTTCGAAAAAAAACAAATTTCGGCTATTTTAAAAATTGTCCCTAGTTCCATTATAAGCTATTTTAGACAAAAAGTTTTCAGATAAAAGTTGTAGATAATCACATCCTTAATGAGATCGTGTCCTCCGTTTTTTTCTAAAGCCTGTCATTTTCGACATATGACACAAACATATGTTTTTTAAATGGAAACCATAGTTGGCCATGACTTCATAAAAAGCGCCATTTTTTAAGCTTTTTAGCGATATAAGCGATAATATGTTTTCTTCGAAAACTTACTGAGTTATAGCCAATTCTTATCATTTTAAACAATTTTACTTTGTTAGCCATGGAAACAAGTTCAATCGCCGTTGCTCTCAGAAATGTGAAGCTGTCGAAATAAACAAAAATTGTAAATATGAATTTTTCAAATGAAGAAAAGTGTGTAGATACTCGCGCATCAATAGTGTTTCCAACATGACTTTCATTATGACCCTCCCCCCATAATGAAAGAAATGTTAAAAATTATTTATATCATAATAATACAAACTCAGGGATAGGAAGAGGTGGACTAATTGCATGGGCCTCCTCGATCACCTGACCTATCCATTTTAGATTTTTTATGCGGTATGGTTAACAATAAGGTTTACAAAAGAATTTGTGAATTAAGAGAGGCACTCGAAGTGGCGGTACGAGAGAAGTTTAATTAAGTTCACCGGTCCTTCTGTGAGAATAGGTAACAATTCAGTTTTAAAAAGATGTAACTCAAAACAATGGCGGATTTTTGAACATTTTCTAAAATAACTTAAAGTGTATGCAGTGACTTCAGTGATATTTTTTTAAGTTTTAGTTTGTGTAATGTAAATTCTAAAAAAACGTTTAGAAATCATAACAGAATAAGAATACCATGCAATCTAAGTGAAATTAGTCAAGAAAGATAAGAATTGGCTATAACTAAATTTGACTTTTCTAACAAGTCTTGAAAATCGTTCTCTAAAAAACATAACATACATTCACGTATTCTCGAAAATGTATGGTCAAGAAAAGTTGAACCAATAATCTGAATGAAAAGCGTGTATTTCATCATTTGGAAAATTCATATTTACAATTTTTGTTAATTTTAATTTACAAAGTTTGGATTTGGCAGCTTCACATTTATGAGAGCAAAGACGATTAAACTTGTTTCCATGGCTAACTAAGTGAAATTATTTAAAAATGATAAGAATTGGCTATAACTCGATAATTTTTCGAAGAAAACATATTATAGCTTATATCGCTGAAAAGCTTAAAAAATGGCGCTTCTTATAAAGTCATGGCCAACTATGGTTTCCATTTAAAAAAACATATGTTTGTGTTATATATCAAAAATGACAAGGTTTAGAAAAAAACGGAGGTCACAATCTCATTAAGGATGTGATTATCTACAAATTTTATCTGAAAACCTTTTGTCTAAAATTGCTTATAATGGAATTAGGGACAATTTTTAAAATAGCCGAAATTTGTTTTTTTCGAAATATCTAGTAAGCCATGAATTTTTTCAAAAATCTGGAAGGCGCATATTTATGACCCCACAAAACTGCAATTCTTTCGCCATTTAACCGACTCTCTATATCCAGTAGTTTCCGGGATACCCATAGAGAACATCGTAGGAAACTCACCCTGTATACTGAAATGAAAAAATAATGAAATGGAAAAATGCAAGGAAAAATGTTTCGTCTAATTTAAAGTATCACCTTTTTTAAGTTTAGCTCTATTTCCGTGATTTTTAACTTTTAGTAACTTTTTAAGTTTTATTTTAACTTTAGTATTGGGTATCAACATTAAACAGAAAAAAAAACAAAGAAAATTAAAAAGAACACAAAAAAAATAATAAAAACTCCCATGTTAAGTTTACACATTATTTAGTATTTGGAATATTCTCTTTAAAACACCCTGCCACTAACCATTTAACATATACAGGGTGTTTCAGAAAACATGTGCCATATATGCTCCATACATAAGCGCCAAACTACGCCTCGTATGAGACACACCCTGTATATTACCAAAAGATACTTTTAAAAGTGCGTTACTCCCCATACTTTACGAAAGAATTGCAGTAAAAATAGATTTTCGACAAGATTTATATCCCCCTCAAAGCAAAGTTTATATGATTTCGATAGCCCATCAACAAAATGTAATTCCAAAGCATCGTCGACATCTGCGCCCCCTCACATAATATATATACTTCGCATTTTCTAATATTGGATTAGTTTGGTTTCCTCAGCATATTGGCTTAAAGATCATGGGTCTGTACGCTTTTAGAAAGACTAAAGAAAGAGAGAGAAAATAATGTTAGATATCTGCACAAAAAAGTCTGCATTTTACGATCATTCACAATGTCTAAAATAATACAATTAAAATTAATAGAACATCCTAGCGAACAGCTTGCAGTAGTTAGTTGTATCTAGAGAGCAGAGCTTAATAACACAGGCCGACATGATTTTTGTAACACGAGTCAGTTGCAGAATTTCTTCATAAAAATATGCTTCTAATAACAGAAAAAATACTCCTGAAGCTCCTCCACGTACCACTTTTCAGTTGCCTAATTACGCCTCTTTTTTGCAGGTAGTCAATTTTATAGATGTCAGGTATTAAGTCTAGGTAGATTCGTTTACATACAGGTAAATTTTATGATGGGATGATTGAAAGGGACGCATTTTGTGCACTATAATATATTGTGAAAAACATAAGAGAGTTCAGTTTTCAGTTGATTTTCGACGTGAGTTGTTCTATGCGTGTAGATAAATAGTACGAAAATGTCAAGTCAAACGCGCCGCAGTTGTAAAGTGTCTCCTGATCGATTTTGTTACATTTGTGGAGAATTTATGGTGCAATCACAAGCCAGACCATTTTCTGAAAATGTGAAGAAAGCCTACTTCAAGTATTTTGGAGTTTTGGTTGGAGATCAAGACAAGCAGTGGGCTCCTCATGTGTGCTGCGTTACTTGTAGCGTGTCGCTTGTGCAGTGGATGAAAGGGAAGAGGAAAAAATGCCATTTGCGGTTCCAATGGTATGGCGAGAACCAACTAACCATTTTGACGATTGCTATTTTTGCCTGACGAAAACTGAAGGTTTTTCCAAAAACAAAAGCACAAGATCGAGTATCCCAATTTGCCGTCTGCCATACGACCTGTTCTTCATGGTGCAGATCTCCCAGTGCCGATCGCGCCCTTAGACTGGCAAGGTATTGTTTTGGAAGATAAGGAAGATATTGAATCAAACAGCTCTGGAGACCAGTGTACTGATCCTACCTTTACCCCAGAGGGCGGTTCCGACAAGCCACATTTGATTGTTCAAAGCGAGTTGAATGACTTAGTGCGTGACTTGGGGTTATCAAAGCAGCAGTCAGAACTTCTTGGATCCCGGCTTAAGGAATGGAATCTGTTAGCCAATGAAACAAAAATCACCACTTTTAGAAAAAGAAATGCTCCGTTCTCTGCATTCTACAGTATGGAGGATTCGTTGTGTGCATGTACTGATATCGATGGCCTAATGCAGGAACTTTCTATAGAACATTCTCCCTGTGAGTGGCGCTTATTCATAGATTCGTCGAAATATAGCCTAAAAGCTGTGTTATTGCATAACGGAAATTTAAAACCCTCTATACCAGTTGCCCATTCAGTGACAATGAAGGAAACTTATGAAAATATGCGCATGCTTTTAGATAGAATCAACTACAACAGGTATAAATGGCAGATATGTGGGGACTTGAAAGTTATAGGAATTTTAGTGGGACTTCAGGGAGGATTTACAAAATATTACTGTTTTCTTTGTTTGTGGGACAGTCGTGCAGTAAATCATCATTATGTACAGAAAATTTGGCCAGAAAGAAGTGAATTTCAACCGGGTTCCCAAAATGTCAAGTATATCCCTCTTGTAGACCCCAAAGACGTCCTCCTGCCTCCTCTTCATATCAAACTTGGCCTCATGAAAACTTCGTGAAAGCTATGAATAAAGAAGGTGATGGATTTAAATACCTAAGGCAAGTCTTTCCCCAGTTGAGTGATGCCAAATTGAAAGAGGGTATTTTTATTGGACCACAAATCAGGAAATTGTTGGACGACACAAATTTCACAGACACGC